TCTGGGTCATTTGTGCTGCTATAACAGACTAGCTGAGACTAGGTAATCTATAAAGAAAAGCAATTTATTTCCAACAGTTCTGGAGGTTGGGAAGCCTACGGTCACAGCGCCAGGATCTGGGGAGTGTTGTCACACTGCAGTCTCACATGGCAGAAGGCAGAAGGGCAAAGCAGAAGTGGGGCTGTCAAGTTCTGTGTCCTCCCAGGGAAGAAAGGTAGAGAAGAGTGAACCCTCTCCTGTAAGGACTTAACCAGTAATCATCCACACCAAACAGCCTTAGGAATGCCTTCAAACACCTAGACCCTGACCCTGTCCCTGGGATCACGTTCCCGACGGGTAAAGTCGGGGGACACATTCAGACCATAACACCTGAGGCACGCTGTGCCAAAGGGGGCAAGTGTGGAAGGGGTGTGCACGGCCAGGGCGTACCAAAGTCCACGTGGACACAAGTCTTGCCTGTGTGCATTTGCCTTCCCCTTACTGCCCAAATAAGTTTCTTGAGAAACAGAAAGCAAGAATTCCCTTTAACCCAGAGTGTTAGTGATGGTTCTAGTTGGACCTCAGCAACCCTAAAGCCCTCCTTTGTTCTAGTAGTTTAAATCATTCCTTTGTTTGTGGACTGACTCATTACTTAACTTAGTAGTACTTACAGTAGTAGGTGATGGGTATACACTGGTGATAAAATGAGTCTCTTTCTTATGGACCTAAGAGCTGGAGCATTTCAGAAGACAGTGGATGCTCTCTTATAAGGAAATTCTGCTATCTAGGAAGGGACCTAGCTGTTCACACTCACATATCAGGGTGAAGATTGTTACAGAGTGACAAGCAAGTCTAGACTTTGTCCTTGTAGGATGATGTTAAAAAGACCGTGAAAGTCACATGGACTGATTTTTTTTTACACAAATGACAACAAGGGCTCCCCTGGTTCCATCAGACAGAGTGTAGATAAAGGGCAGAAGGTGAGCGGGCTGGGTCCTAGATAAGCAGGATCAATGAAATAAATCTATTCTCCAGGAGTACACAATGGCACCTTGAGAAGGGAAGATCCTTACCACCTAATCCTGACGACAGGTGACTCGGACCATCTCTGTCAGTTCTGTTGACAGTTCAGTCGCTCTGGTGACCAAAAGTTGAAATGAAACCCTCCGCACTGTTTGAATTGAATCAAGTTTGCTATGCCCTTCCCTGTTCTCCGGGACTGTCAGCCCCTGAGGAGGAGAGTAACTTGATCTTAGTTCCTCTTCAGCATTTTAAACAGCGGTTTATTGAGTGCTCATCCTCAGGAACCCGAAAGTGAAAAGGCAGTTCTCTCTAACCGGCTCCTTCAAATGAGGAAGCTGCTCGTAGGAGAATGTGCTCACTATTGCCCTTCATCATTTGTTTATCTTCCCCATAAAAGGATTAAGCACAGCTTAGAGGCTGCGTAGCAGTCAGTGTCAAATCTTTTTTCTTTTCTGCAGGGTGCATGTTTTAATGTTGGCACCTACAGCCTCCATTTGGGGTCAAAGGGTTCTAGAACTATTGTTGTGGAACCCACTGTTTAGAACCGTTTAGGAAGCTTTGGCTGTGGCGGGTCTCAGGTACAAGCTGTCCGTGGTTCCTTTCATCGTCTCTTCCTAACTGGCTTACCACCCAAGAAGCAGAGAGAACACACAGATAAGGAGAAGATGACATGGGGCCTAGGAGAGGGAAGTAGAATCAAGGGAAGGAGTTCGGGTGCAGACATGGGGCGGTCAGGGCAGTGTCTCAGACATTAGCCGTAGGGCCCTGACAGTCCGTCTTCCTGGGCTGGGGCACCCCGCCACGGTCATTCGGATTTGCCCAGCACACGGTGGTGCTGCGGAAGAGGGTGGCGTTATGGAGCTCACTTCCTGCTCCTGTGCCAGTCTTGGCCCTTCCGTGTGACCCTGGAGAAGATGCCTGCTCCCGCAGCTGTGAAAGAGGGGACTTGCCAGTGCTTAACTTCCTGCGTATGTCTGTGGCGGGAAGCAGCACATCACACAAACCATCGGAACAGTGCCTTGCTCATCCTTTGGAATAATTTCAGAATAATTTCAGTGCGAGCCATTATTCTGGCAGCGAAGGTAGCCATGTACATTAACCCCATTTTTACATCTTATTCTGCAATGCCTCTCTCTCTGCCTATCTCTCTCTTTCTGTCTCTGTCTCTCTGTCTCTGTCTCTCTCTCTTCTCTCTCTCTGTCTCTCTGTCTCTCTGTCTCTCCCTCTCTGCTTCTCTCTCTCTCTGTCTCTGCCTCTCTCTCTCTCTCTCTCTCTCTCTCAGTTGCTTTAAAGTAGAGTTGTTCTGTCAGGGCCTCTGTCGTCATGGAAGAAAGGCATTAATGGTTCCCGTCAAAAGAAGCAAAATTCAAAAGTAAAATCTCAAGGAATCGGCTCTGAGAATTCTCCCAAACGTTTATTTTTTGATTCATTAGATTTTGTTTCCTGTGTTTCCAGGATGGGGCAGAGTTGAAAAGCCTTAGCTTTCACTGTTAGTGAATGTCTTTAAAGAGACCTTTTCGATTTCCACAAAATATATATTTTTAACTTTACATAGTGGATTCTCAACCTCCAAGTAATTATAAGTTCAGGTTTTATTGTCTCTTGACACTAATTTCAATTTTATAATAGAATTTTGCTTCACTTACACCAAATTTTATTTCAATTTCTCTTTTCCAATTCACTGAGCAATGAAAGGTTTCACAGGAGAAAACACAAATCTATAGCAAAGCCAGCACACCGCCTGAGATGATGGCTTGGGGCCGCTCGCCCTCAGCTGTGGAGTACTTTCTCCTACTGCACCTCTAAACAGCTGCAGAAATGTACACTCTGTATAAATGCTCTAGCGGTGACTGCAGACATGGTCCTTCTCGGTGCTCCACCATCGCCATAAATGGACCCCAGTCGTTACGATTCACTACCAAGTTCTGCTTGCACCTTGGTACTGCAGTGGTATTCCATGTGCTATCACCTGTGGCTACTGCACTGTTGTACTTAACTACCTACTGCAGTATTTACTGCCAGCCCAGTAGCCATGCTTCACCTAACACCGACGGAGCTCACACTAGGCTGAAGGCACTGGGGTTTGTTTATGACTGCCCCTTGACGAGATAATACAATCCCCCTTATTCAAAGATTGTGTTCTAGGCCTGATTAAGTGCCAAACCAAGAAATAGTACCGCATCATACTTATGAAGAAGGCATGTAGTAGGCACTCAATAAATATTTGTCGAATGGAAAAATAATGGCAACAAAAACTATGCGGTTTACAACAGACTACTAATGTCAACGTAATCCATCAAAAAGAAGAGAAACAGGTTTCAGAGTTTACGAAGTCTTAGAGCATGAGATCATTTAAAAAGTCCTTCAAATGAAAATTCCCTGCATTCTAAGTTTACAGTTAGGATACATTCCCAGGAAGTCTAGCTTCTTCTAATGAACGGTTCCTGGAAAGGATTGATAGAGGTGAAAAGCACATAGTTAAAGTCTGACTCAGGGTCTGAAAACCACCTTTTAGTATTTAAAAAGGCATTAATCATGATCATTATCCAATAGGAAGGAATGCTCACAGAATACATAGAAGAAATGTTTGCTGAGGCAAAAAGTCAGAGAAAAGGAACGCGCACAGGCTCAAGGCTGAAGACAAACTACTTTTTTCCTTTTTGCTTCAACAAATTAAAGCTACTGAGAAAGAACAATTAACCAGAGGGGAACAGTATAGTGTGATGTATAAAATACTGCCAAGGTCAGCAGAAACTCTGTGTATGTTTTGTTTTGTTTTGTGTGGAAGTGACTGTTGAGAAACAAGTTTATGCTTCGAAGTTACTCAACACCAAGGGTCTGGAAAGTACTTTTATTTCCTTTCGTATTTGATGACAGGAATGAGTTACCAAGATACTCAGTTAAGCCCTACGCTGTTACGATTTTTTACACGGCTGCTCTTTAATGTTCATGCTTCTTCATTTATTTTTGTTGGATCCTTTGGTTTCTCCTTTGCTTCCTGCTTCTGAGAATGATTTCTAAGTGAATGACTGTACCTCAAAAATTTCGAAAGCCACTTGAAAAAAGTCCACAAAAATGCAATTTTTACAGTGTCATAGCTGTGTAGAAAAAGTCCACATGGATTATCTTCGGGCATATGTAAAATATGTAAGAATTTTAGCTGAGAACAGAATCAGCTGGGCTCCGGGCACCTAGGCCTTTCTCCTCAGCTAGTCCACGCTGAATTTACTCCAGCAAGTTGGGAAACCTTTACTACATTGTTGTGTTGCTGAAGACCTACACAACCGGTGTCTTCCTTTCCTTCATTGCTTAGTCTTGATCATCTACCTGGTTGGCTGAGTGAATAAGAACATGGCTTGTCAAGGTGGATGGTTGAGTTAGGGACCAAGAGCCACAGAAAACAAAGTAGCAAACTGGGGTCACGTTAGAATCAAACCTGCCCCTCAGAAAGCCTCAGATGGGAGGGTCCCAAGTTCCAGCCTAACCTAAGCCGCTAAGTAACTTAATGAGGCCGAGTCTCAAAATTTTAAATTTCAAAAGGGATAAGGTTATACCTCATGGCGAAGGCCCTGGGTTCCATCTCTGAGCTGAGAAGGAAGAAAGAGGGGAGGGGAGGGGAGGAGAGGAGAAAAAGGAACAAAGGGAGGGCAAAGAGCAAGAAAGAGTTAAACCTGTGGTTTGAGAATACTGTTTCACTGATAAGGCTTCAAGGAATCTCCATACTCTCTTCAACTTAATCCTAGGCAGTATCCTGGGTTGTTTTTGTAGATGATCAAATCATTTCATCTAAATATGCCACATTTTCTTCTTGTGATGTGAAATCATGAAAACCTCTTAAATACAGAGTTATCCTTCTCTGAGAATTAATACTCCTGAGAATTTAAAAATTTCAAAGCCTGCCCATTCAGGACAAGTTAGGCAAGATTCTCAAATCATCTCTATTAAACAACGAAGTGAAATGGCAAAACCAGGAAGTAGAGAATAAAAGACAGATCACATTTAGACAAAGACATGGTTACTTTTTATTCGAAGGGGAAAAGTATGTTTTAATAAATACTGCAGAAACATTGACCAAACAAACATACAAAGTGACTTCAACGGTTCTTAAAAAATGCAACGAAAGTTCTTCTTTATAACAGTTATAACTTATTTTCTTTTTACAATATTTAAATACAGAAAGCACTTGCCAGCTATTTTGTAATACTGCCCAAAGCATAATCTGCATCAATCAAAGGATATTATGTTGGGAAAATGTCTGTATTCTGTGGGAAATGACTCAAATGATATTTTCTTGCGGACAAAACAAAGTGCTTGTATGACACGGAACTGAGTGTTGTAATTACCTTAATCTACTCTCCTGCCACAACTTAACGGGAGCACAGCTTCAAGACTTCAAAAATGAAGCATTATCATTGGAAAGAAAGCTCGTTTTTAACAAGCACCAACAATAACCAAGTCAGATCTGGCTTCTTCTCTGAAGGAATCCCTAGATGGGATGGGTCAACAACCTATCTGTAAACTATTTTAAATGTTGATTATTTCATGTAACAACAAAGATTGAGTTTTAAACCTGGACCCTGGGTGAATCTGGTTAAGTGGGTCTTAGCAATTTCTCTCAGAAATGCCCTTCAAAAAAAAGAAGAAAAAAGAAAGGAAGAAAGAAAAAGAAAAAAAGAAACGTCCTAGTGTAATGTCCTGGCATCATATAATTTTTTACTAAGGATTCCCTAAAGCTCGGTAAGTGGGTCCTTCTCAGATGGATGTTCACTTAAGGAAAGTGAAATAAACCAACAGACCATTGGATGCTGCCAACTGGAGCTTCATCTCAAAATAAGATCCTTCTGCTTCGTGCATTTGGTAGCGTATTTCCTGACACCTTTCCTCACAAACTGTGCTTTCTGTTACTACTCCTTCCTTCATTAGCTCTCCTGGTGAAAACAGTACCTAAGTTTTTCTCCCTTGGATCATTCTATGACACAAAGACACTTTTATTTGACTTTGCATTTTCATCAACAATGGCAACACAAAACTCACACACCCTCTTTTCTAAACAGCGCACAAAAATATTACATTGAGCAATTTACCACTTGTTAAAGATGATCACGATTAGGGACAGAACCATCAGACTGAAGAAAATCAACACTTTTCTCTATTTGACCTATGCAATCTCTGTCGTGCTGATCTACACATCCTGCAAGGCCGCAACGCCCTTCTTTAGAACCATCTCCCTCAGCAGTCATCTTCAGGAGGGCACGATTCCCAGGCCTCATGAAGCTTCCCTCTGCAATCCCACGGGGCCTGATACAATTTCCATTTTAATGATGAGCTAGGTGGAAATTAGATCACATCCTCTAGAAAACTAAATGCTAAGGTCACAGTGCCAGTTCCCCCATGAGATGGTATATTAATATATATTTTTTGTGAAGGAGATTAAAACATTTAAAAATTAAATCAAAGTAGAGATCCATGAATAGAATGTAACAAGAAAACAGCAAAACAAAACAAACAAAACGCAAGCACCGCTCGGAGGGGGATTTTCTTCTTGGAGGTACTCGCCTCCCCCCTCCCCCACCTCTAGCCCATCTGTACCGCTCCTTTTTGGCATACTTTTCAAGTCACACTACAAAACACTTCAACGTATTCACTTCTCAGCACTCGGGCTGCGTGCCGAGTCGAAGGACAGGATCCCACGGAGACCGGTGTCCTCTCGGGGCCTCCTGAGTCTGCGGTGTACGTGGCTTTGGCTGTGCACTTCTTTCAGGGTTCACCTGCTTGTTTTGCTCCTGTTTTTACACTAGATTCACTTGTCCTCATTAAAGGTAACGCAAGGTTCACATCACAGTGCAGCTCTTTGCTTTGTCCTTTCTTAAGTCCGTAGCAACTGCCGAGAGCTCCGGTCTGCTCGGCATGTGTGAGATCCGCTTTGTGGCCCTCTGTGACTTGTTCCGCTTAACGTTCTTATTTGTCTTATTTACACACGCCAAGGTGGCCACGTGGAAAATGTCTCTGACGCTGTTTTCTGACTGTAAAGCTGAACATTCAATATAAGTAGCTGCACCAATCTGCTTGGCCATATTTGCCCCCTGAAGAAGGAGAGCAGGGTGTTAATGAGCAATAAGACCTAGGGGAAAGCTAAAAAGTGTCTTCTGAGACCATGAAACAGTCTTCCCTACAAAACATTTTCTAATATGTCAATTGAATTTTCCAAGTGTTGTTAGAAATGGAATTTATTCATTGATCTACGGTATTCTATTTATGAATACTCCATGAATATTTGCAATCAAGATCTAGGCCTAAGGTACTCAAATATTATCAGTCATCCAAATTTCCTGGGTCATTAATACATGAGGGTCCTGATCATCAAATACTTCATGAGTTGATACAAAGAATTAGGAGGGGACCTAAGGAGGCCATTCATTCTCTTGCTCTTTTTTTTCTTGGACTTTTTGAGACAAGGTCTCCCTGTTCAGTTCAGGCTGGCCTTGAGCTCACTTTGTAGCTCAGGCAGGTCTCGAACTTGCAGCGATCCTCCTGCCTCAGCCTCCAGAGTGCTGGGATTACAGGCGTGCACCACCACGCCTGGCTAGCCATTCATTCTCAATAGCACATTTAACTAAGAGTGACTGGTTACCCTGGGAGATTCAAGGGTCACTGCAAGCATAGAATCTTACTACTGCTGTCCGTCAGCTGAAGGTCAGGAGCACAAGCTGTATTTCCCACACAGTTCTGACAGGGGCAGCCTAGCTTTTATAGCCTGTTCCTGTCACTCATGGGTATTTACTCTCTCTCCTCTTGACTGTACATGTCAGTCAAAGCTAGTCAGCAGTTGTGTAAAGCATAGGGGCAATGGATGGAATTGTAAAAAGATTTTACATAAATCAATTTATGTAACTGTGTCTTACAGTCAAAATAAACTGAGAAAAGGAATATGATCATGACATCGATTACTCTACGGAACACAAAACATGCAATTTGTAAGTGTGGGTAATGCTGCCAGGATATACAATAACAAATGTGTACATAATCAAAATTATTTATTTAAATAAGCAGATTTTATAAAATTACAAATGCAAAATGAAGAAGATTGCAGTGCACTTTTTTCTTTTTAAAATTTTTTGTTCTACCACTGAAATGCATCCCCAGCCTTCGGTTGCATTACTTTAAACGATGAATGTGAAATATAATTCTACCTATCTCGACATGAGCCCTCTTCAGAATGTGGTTGTGAGTTTTAAGGGAATGAACCTCTGAAACTAATTCTCCTTTCTCACTATTTGTGGGAAACACCTGTAGACATTCTAAAAGATGGTTTTATGAAATAATCTCTCAGAAATAGCCTGCGTTAGGATTTTCTTGGGCTGCTGAATAGAAAATGATTACCTCTCTTAAAGAGAACTACTGAATCTGACCACATTCTCTCTCAAATCTCGTGAACATGAAACACACTGGTAGTTGTGAATAGCACATGATCGACTACTTATGTTCGCAGGTGTGTGACTGCACTGCTGAGTACCGGGGCATGTCATACTTCACGGATGACCACAGGCTGAACCTGCCTGTAGGAAAAGGAGCTAGTTTCTTTTCTATTTACTATGAGTGACACTCCATTTCTTTCACTGTGGGATCCACTTTACACACTGATACCGTACGTACCTGATCATATGACACCGGTGTCTGCCTGTGATTTGAGAGCTCTACTAATGTACTAACATCCGTCCTCAGGTCAGACTTGCAGCCAACCAAGAGCATCTTGGTATTGGGACAAAACTCCTGGATTTCACCCTTCCACTATAAGGGGGGAAAAAAAAGAAAAATTAAAAAATACTAGAATCCAGATGATGAAATTTTTCTATGGACAGAAGCTGAAAGTGGTACTCAAGAAAGACACTGGGAAGTGTGTTACTGCAAACCAAAGACACAAACTTCCTAGATAGATATCACGTCCTACTGCTTCTCAAAGTAGGTCCATTAAAGAATGCCAAGGAATGTTATTAATGACTCTGTGACTCATTTATCCCTACTGAAAGAGATTTATTGGGTGTTGTCAGAAAGTAGCTGGAACTATTTGTTAATTATTGGGGGCAGCTCTGAAGGATAGTAATTATACGTGCTAACCGGTGACTACGTCCTTAGATCTGTTGAGCTGGTACTTTCCAGGCAGAGGCTGGGACTAAGAGAGAGCCCAGCCCAGCACAAGTATGCATTCACAGACTCCATCCGGGAAGGCTGAGCATGTCATCTCCTGTTCTAATGAGGCACCTGGGCGACAGCGAAAGACAATGCATTGCCTTCAAGAAGCTTCCTTTCATCAAGGGGCTAAATGACACAGACCATCGCAGGCGCAAAGAACTATCTCCTGGGTTCTGCAGAAGGCACTTGGTCCCGGTCCTTCTAAAGCTGCATGAACGAACTATTTCAATCGAGTCCAATTTAACCAGTTGTTTCATAACCAAACTGGCATTATCAGAACCTCCCAAACACCTCATAAGGAATTCTAATTAGCATCTTTAAAAGCAACCAGATGACATCTTGTGGCTTTGCTTCCTCCCGCATGAGCTCCATCATCAGGATGGGATTGGGGATCCCACGGGTTCACAGGGGAGCTTTGGCTCTTGGCAGTCAGGCTTTATAGGGGCTGAGACTCTCCCACCCACATCCACAAATACATCTTAAGTGCTCTATGAAGTATTGTGGTGATGACAGAAATGACTAAGACACAGCTGTGTCTTCCGGAAAGGAACTCACAGAAGAGCAAGGGCAATGAAGTCATGCATCTAAGTGTAACAGGAGAGAGAAAGGACATCCATCCTGTGGGAATAATGTAAGAGACCACCAGAGGAGACTGTTCCAGGTCAGAGGTGTACTCTGGGAAACAAACCCCGGTCCCACCAGTGCATTGAGGGGAACAGCGCACTTTCCATAGAGGCTAAGTTGTGAAAAGCCTGCCTTCTTCCCAGAATGACTGAGGACCATTTAGCAAGTGTGAGACAACACTGGAGTCAGAACCGGAAGATTAAACAAAAAAAAAAAAGGAATACAAAATCTCCGCTGTGAGACACTCTAACCCCTTTGATACTGAAGGACTGAATTAATCAAGACCATAGGAGGAGTTATCACGAGCCTTAAACCTCCAATGAATGTAAAGCACACTCATTAATATCCATAAGGCCAAAGACACTACTCATTTGGTCTTAGAAGACAGAAGCAAAATACAACAGGAAAAAGGCTTTTCATGATATAATTTGATATTACATCAAGTGAAACCTCCAGTAAATAAGCAGGCTCTTTTATCTAGACAGAACGAGACATGTTGTTCTTGAGCTGGATAATGACCCCGGCCCCCCTCTGCTCGTCTGGCAATTGTTTACAAGCGTTAAAGACAGGAGAGGTATATTCTGCCTGAATCCAACAAACAGGAGCCTTATTTGTGCTTGATGTGCAGTACTCAAAGCTAAAAGGAGTTTAAAAGTGAAAAAGCGCCTTTGATCTGCTAGGAAAGCTGCATCTCACCGCACTGTGTTGGCGGTGTTCAGTGAAAGCAGAGAAGGGTGACTGTACCTTACACCCGATTTCATACCGACACGCAAGCCAAGCGGCCACGTACCGCAGAGAAATAGAGGTTAATAAACGCACAGAATTAGAACTCCACTAAAAGTAAAAGTCAAAAGAATCCAGACAAGTCAGAACAAACTAAAAACCCCCAAGCCATCTGGAACAGTGCTTCTCCTTCTCAATCCCTGCACTCTGTCTGGGTCACACGGGTGAGCCCTGCCCTCAACCACAGCCTGTGTCTACGCCACAGTGCACAGGGAGGAGGGCTGACTCCAGCAAGGTCCACTTGGAAACCCACAGTGCTCAGACCAGGGCGAGGAAGGAGCCAGTCAGTGCCTCTCCCTGGGCTCCACGCACTGTGTGTAACTACCCAGGCTGAGCCCTCAGCTGGCTAGCGGCCAAGGAAGGCCCTCCCTCCCGCGCTCCCTCAGGACTCTTCCTCATCCTCAGCAGGCGCTCCTCCTCGTGACCGCTCCCTGAGCCCTCCGTCCAGGGCTGCTGCCCCGGGTGCTGCTTTCCACCCACAGAACCTGACCTCCTTCGCCTCCAGTTCACCAGTACTGCCTTCATTAGGATGTGGCACATACTTGATCATAACTCACACAGTACCACGTCTTCAGACATATTCTTTTCACACTAGTACATTTCAGGACAAACGACATCTGAACTAAAACACAGTTTCTTTATTAATATAACTGTTACTGCATTCAGCTCAAAATTTGAAGATAAATTTGCAAACTAAAGCTCAAAATGTGTTTGGCAAAGGAAGGAAAGGAGGAAGGGAGGGAGGGAGGGAGGATAGATAGAAGATGGAAGGAAGGCAGGTATGAATCCAACAGTACTAAAATCTAGCTATTTTAGCTGCACCATTCCTTCCAGAAAACAAATATGGATTCTTTTAAAGAGTATTTGCTTTATGAAATAAAACTTCAAGATTAATCGTCAAAACTAGCGGGACACATGCATGGAAACCTGTTGGTGAAGCGTCTTTTCCAGGAATTGAATTAGAACCCATGAGGAAGGGAATCAGTTTGCGCCTTGGAGCTCCTGGGCCAACCACACGTTTCTGTCTTTCCCATCTCCCAGCACTGCACTGCGCTCCTGAGCACCAGCACTTGCCTTTTTCAAGACACTGTCCAGAGTCTCAGGTCTACTGATGTCAAAGCAGATCAGCACAGCGTCCGAATCTGGGTAGGAGAGGGGCCGGACGTTGTCATAGTATGGAGAACCTAAGGAGAAATGAAGACACACAGGTGAACGTGGAAGTCTCTCTGTCTGTCCTGCAGTAACTCTTCTACCTTGAGATAAATCTCTTGACTGTCCCACTGCATTCCCACCCCGCTTCCCCTAATTCTTGGGAAAGAAATGGAAACACAAAAGCGAGGCTACCAGTGGTACTCATTTCTTCCAGAAGATGAATGGTACCTTACCCATATCTGACCTGGAGGAACAGGACCTTAAGGCAAAATTCAAAGACTAGAGGTGGAAGGCACCTGGTTGACACAGGAAAGCACCTAGGGCCGAGTGGCCTTGAGTCCAAATCGACCTCCATCACCAGAGGGGCAGGACAACATACTGCCTGGCATTAAAGAAATCCAGGGAACACCTGGCATTTTGCAAAGGCTCAGTAAGTATTAACGAGGGTTCCTGCGGCTGTGTTACCTCTACTGTTAGAAGCTGAGCACCATAAACCGAGCCACTTCTTAGGAATGAGACGAAAACAAGATCAGTCCAATACTAGGGCCGGCGTGGACAGAGGAAAGAAGAGGGTAGGTTCCCCCGTGCAAAGAGAACCACGGCAATCCACGTCACTGCCACCCTGCCTGGACAAGCCACTGACCTCAAGTTTGCTTATTTAAACTTATCCCCAAGCCATATAGGTTTTCTTTGTTACAGCCACCAATGTAATCAAGGCCATGTTAGATCAGGTCAACTTTTTTCTTATACAGTTCTATTTTTATTTTTTTATTTTCATTTTTAAAAATTTATGTACTTTAAAGAGAAGTGACACCATAGCATGACCCAAAGATCCTGGCCTGTATTAAACCCTGGCTACCCCAAAAGCTCACATAACCAAACAATAATTTAGTCACAGAAATGAGCTAGTCCCTTGGGAAGTCTCTTCTGCTCCTTTAAGAATTCCGAAGGGTGGCTAATTACATGAGGCCAATAATTATGACATAGCATAATATAAAATTAAAGACAACTTCGCCAATTGCTACTTTTTCAAGTACTTATTTTAGGTACACAGACATTTCATAAACATGAAAGTCATTTTATGAGGCAAACACTTACATATATTTTTGATTAGATATATTTTTTTGATTCCTAACGAAAGAAAATGTAACGTACCAAAGTCTTCTGGAACTGATTTCATTTTGACACAATTTTCCATTTCAACAGAAAAACATGGCATATTGTCCCCTCTTATGTAAAAAAAAAATCTCAATAGTTAAAGTCAGGAAAAGAGAAAGAAGCTTTTAAGATAATCTATATTTCTATCAAAATAGAAAATTGTAGGGGCCTGCTTGTATAACTGCAAGTTACTGTCTTTGTACGCTGCCATCCTGTGTTCACCATGTATTCTGGGTCCCCAGCAGTAAACGCAGAACCCCAGGCTACACTGTTGCTTTCTTATTCACTGGTTGGGAGATGGCAAGCAAAACTTCAAGCCAAGCGTGTCTGATAAGACAAAAGGGGAAGGTTGTAGGAATTAGGAAGTAAAGTGTGAATAACCGAACGTGAGCTAAGCAGGAACTGTTCCTTAGCTATACCAGCTTCCTACTCATGTTGGAATCAGGATCCTGCTATAGCAGATGCTGACAACTGAAAGGCATTTTCCCAAAATGTTTAGAGTTTAAAAAGTCAACTCATTTTAAATATTAAGATACATCAGAATGACGCTTTCTCCCGACATGACAAGCTGTGGCCGTCTTTTCAGCTACTTACAGGAAAGCCAGGTTATGAGAATTACTCCCAAACCGTTCACCCATTTAAACAGTCTTTGAGAGGCATCAGAAACGACCTGGATGAATACCACGTCAAAGTCCGCCTCTGACATAGCTCCTGCTCTGAGCATCTGAACAGCCCTTTCCAAGCAGTCAGAAAACCCAAGACCACAGAGTGGAAACCCAAATGCTGCACAGGCACACAAGGGTTTCCTCCTCTCCTGGAAGTCAGCAAAAGATGCAAGGATCCCCGACCCATAAAGTCTGAACTGCCAACTATTAAGATTGTCAGAAACTTGACCAGGCCTTGGAAATCTCCTTTCTTGGAAGTTACTGACATTAAGAAACAACTTTCTGGACACCTTCCTGTCTCCAGCTGGCCTGGCCTCGAGGATCAGCCTCTCCACGTGCCTCCCTCCTTCAGGACAGTTAGGAAAGGCAGCTGAAGAAATCCAAAAGGGCGAAACTAGTTTACTTAAAACTGGAACTACCAGGAAGATCCAGAGGAATGCTTTCAACATGCAGGTCTCAGGTGGCTTGTGGAGGATGCTCTCCCTCTGTGGACGGAGCTTCCCCTCCCCCAGCCATGTTATGGGCGCAAAGGGACCTATCTGGCTTCGGGTTCAGCCCTCTCACAAACGCTGCAGACTCAGGCTTCTGTGCTTGGCGGGTATATGTAAATATCTGCAAATTTTAGACTCTGGCTTGATTTTAAGATGAAACAGATTTTTCAAGTTAAACCAAATTGTCACAGAGGCTTGTTTCTGCTTTTGTTTTTATCTGGTTTAACACTGTGAATGAAAATACATATGTGTTGTGAAGGTTCATGAGAAATAAACCACCATGTGTGTGGAGGTAACGAGGTAATTTACAGAGCTTTCACAAGATCTAACTAGGAATGACACTTTGATCTGGTCCTATTGCTTTTGCTAAGAAACAGTGCTGGTTTTAGATCAACAAGAGTATCCAAAGGTACTAATAAAACAGATCACCACGTTTATTAGTTACAATTTGTCTGACCACGAATGATAGGAGTAATCTGCCGTTAAAAATAACAAGACTACTTAGTCATTCCATTTTTTTGATAGGTTAAGGTTAAAATTTTTGGGCGGGGGAGAGAATAAAATCATTGTCTACTTTTTCATGGTAAGAAAACTTATATAGAATTAAAAATGAACTGTCTCATCAGGCATGATCTGAAAGTTCATCAGCTAAGGAGGACCTTCATGAAAAAAAAAATTCCTGTGTGATTTACAGTGCTTACTCTGCGTTTCAACACTTTGCACGCTCTCCTATTCTTCCCACAAAGCCCGTGACCTCACAAAGGAGGCCAGGCAAGCAAAGCTGGACAGGACAGCTGCCCCCTGTCGCGAAAAAATGGAGCAGAATCCCAGGAATACCCTGCTCCAGTGAGAAGCAACGCAGGGAGGCAGAGATGACCCTCACAGGGAAGCCAAAATTAAGCCCATGAAGGAGGCACAATACCTGCTCAGGCTCCTGCACCTCTCCAGGTGACACCTTGTGAAACTAAACAGCAAAAAGTTAACTCCTATAGATTTTTTTTTTCTTAAAAGATGCACAGAAAGCTTCTAAGGTGCTAATTGTGTAAGCATAAGAAAGAGAGCTGAATGTATTTTACTGTGAGAGCAAGTATTATACTTCACAGCACACTGATATGCAGGGAATCTGCCCTCAAATACCTATGAATGTACTACAGTTAAGGTCCAATAAATCTTGGTACTGAGCTTTGCTTGTCAAATAAAACTCTTTCTCAGCATGTGAAATAGGCGTCATGCACATAGAGATCCACACATGCAGCAATTCTCTTATACTCAATGAAACGTCAAACCCACAGCGCTGTTCCCAGGTCCTCCTTTCTAAATAGCCATACTTTCAAAAGGAAACTGCAAGAAACCCCATTATAAATATATAAGGACATGCACAGGCAAAATGTGTGTACCAAAAAGTATAGGCAAAGGGCTTTGCTGGGGTACAGATTGAAATAAATCTGCTTCTGGGATTCTTAGTTGCTCAAGTCTGGCAAACACGAGCAAAGTTTACAAGATATTTGAAACTGTGGATTTACCCATCTTTGTCTTTGAGATCATTCATTTCAAGTGAGAGTAAAAGTTCCTGCCCAAGAATAGTCACAAAGCACCTCGCCCAGAAACTAATTCTGTAGACACATACCTGCCTGTTGAAGTCACCCTTTCACCGGCACAGAACACACCATATTTGTACATAATTAAATGTATATGTAAGAAGATTCATGTCCAAAAGGGAGGCTTCGTGGACTTTCTGCAAAACCAGTTCAAACACTGTGAGCTTTTACAGGAGACCGAGAGATGAAAACTCTTCTTGTTGAAGGGTTTCTAAGTATAGCTTCTTACACTTGAACTTTAATTTGAAAAGCTTCCCTTTTCCTAGTAAGACATTCCTACCCAGAACAGTAAGTTACAACCACTGATTTTTGGCACAGAAAAACACATTAACATTTGGTATTTTCAGTGACCACCCAAGCATACCTCTGCCAAGTAGGAGCTAAAATGTGAGTCTGCATGAACTGCCCAGTTCTTACACGCATGCACTTCCTCAGGCCACCTCCAATCAAAACGAGAGCTCTACATTTCCAGCCATCTCAGGAATGCAAACTAAGTCGAGGCAGAACTCTGCTTATCTGGCTCAGCAGAAGACTCTGTTTTAACTCTTTTTCCAGTTGTCTACACTAAAAATTCCATGCCCCCAACACGTTACAGAAACGCTCAGGAATGAGATGTGATTTGTGCTAGAGAATCTCACTAACAGAAATGGCAAACAGCGCTTAGGAAAACTTTGGGCATCTGTGTGTTAGTATAAAAACTGAATCAATATTTTCTATTTCTCAGGACAGTGAAGATACACCACTGTGTAGAAAGTCAGACAAGTAGAAATAAAATTGCTATTTTGAGGCTTTAAAACTTTTGATTTAAACTCCTAATCTTATTGAAATACTTAAATTTATAGAAGAATCAAAATACTTTCCTGACAGTGGAGACTATGTATATATAAACTCACATTAGCATTCAGTAATGGATGGAAGCGTTCGCTTCATCTGTGAGTCAGCCTCCTCAGAAAGGAGTCCCAAGACTCAGTGTACCTTCCCACACACGTCACCGGGCTCATTTATCAAAACCAGTGCAGCACATCTGATCAAACTTCTGAAGCCACTTACATGCATGTCAGTATTTTTTTTGTTTTTTTGCCATAAGACCTTTGACAGAGTTGCCAATATATAATAACTA